CCGGGAGCGGGAGGTGCCGTCGCCTTTGACGTCACCCCGGCGTCGCCCTGACGTCACCCCCCACACACCCCCCGCAGGGCCTCCCCTCAGCGGTCGTAGGGACGGCCGGGGCTGTGTGAGGGGCTGGGGACCGGCCGGGTCCCGGGGGGACACGGCGGGGCCGGGAGCGCCGCCTCAATACCGTCGTCAGGGTGGGGAGAGGCGGTGGTGGGTGTGAGGTGGACACGCTGTTGAGAACCTGGGGCCTGGCCACGGTCGGGTTTATTTATGGGAAAAACTACCAGGTTTTGAAGAGCTGCTCACACTGTAAATAGCATAGAATCATCGGATGGTTAGAGTGGGAAGGGACCTTAAAGATTGTTCCAACCCCCCTGCCCTGGGCAGGGACACCTCCCACCAGACCAGGTTGCTCCAAGCCCCATCCAACCTGGCCTTGAACCCCTCCAGGGATGGGGCATCCACAGCTTCTCTGGGCAACCTCTTCCAGTGTCTCACCACCCTCACAGCAAAGAATTTCTTCCTAAGATCCCTAAATCTCCTCTCTTCCAGTTTGAACCTATTACCTCTCATCTTATCACTCCCCTCCCTGATCAAGAGTCCCTCCCCAGCTTTCCTATAGCCCCTTTCAGACACTGGAAGACCATACAAGGTCTCCCCGGAGCCTTCTCTTCTCCAGGCTGAACAACCCCAGCTCTCTCAGCCTGTCCTCACACGAGAGAAGCTCCAGCCCTCTGATCATCTTTGTGGCCCTCCGCTGGACCAGCTCCAACAGGTCAAATATGTAAATAGTAAGAGCTGTCTTTACCCCCATGACGCACGGGGAAGACAGAAGACTGAGCAGACCCATAGCTACACAACACAGCAGGGTTTTCCCCGAAATTAGAAGCCAGCGGCGTTTTAGCGAAAGGCCCTCAGATCCTCTCGGTAAAAATCCTGGGTGGAAAAGTAAATCTAAGGCAGGATGAGGTCCCAAAATAGAAAACAATGTGTTTCAGAGAAATAAATGGCACCCATACTTTTAATTTTTAAGAAAATTATTTAAAATTTTATTTACATGGCATATATATTTATGGAAAATATTTTTCAACCATGAATCATTGTAGAAAAATAAAATGTCACAAGACTAACTATTGTTAGGACCGGAAAATATATCGCTGCCACATCTCGCTTCCTCTGAGCCCCCTCAGGGACCGTTTCTTCCGCGAAGGCCTGGAGTCACCAAAGCAACGTGTCAACAAGTCCTAAACATGTCCCGTTAGCAAAAGGACAGCCCCAGCTTCCCCAGGGTTGGGACACAGCCCTGGGATGGCCACACGGCAGGCAGGAGCAGGGAGTTCGTTTGGGTGAAAATGAACCTGGCAAAATAAATAAAGGAGCAAGCGGTGTGTGTTCGTGGTGGAAGGGGGCTGTTGTCGGTGCGCGGGGACGCTGCTGGTTGCACGACGTGGTCATGGCCACGGCACAGCTTTTTTGAAGCACAGCTGGGTTCTGTCTCCAGCGAGCTAGGACTGGCCATGTCTCATAGTGCTACCCTTGAGAGCCACCAAAGCTTGTGGCCTTGTGGCATCCCTGCTGCTCTTTAAGAACTTGCTTCCTGGAGCCATAGGAAGAGGAATAGTGCTGACATGTAGCATTTAAAGAAAGAGGAAAAAAACCACCAAGAAAAATACTTTAATCCTTTTTTTTTTTTATACAAAGAAGTCTGAACGCACGACCTTGGAATCAGACACAGAGAATTTATAGTCGCCTAATAGTCTATTGTTTTGGAGCACATTTAAGGCTTACAGTCATTCATATTGCATATTCTTCCCATAACACTGTTACACAATGTCTCATGCTAGAAAAGTTATAAATCTTCAACAGTTGCCTAAAATTTTTGGTCACGTTGCAGATTGAATATGTTCAGCTTCCTGTGAAGATAAAATTGGGTCATCCCAGCTTTTTCCTTTTCATTGCCACAAATCAATATAGGCAGTTGGCTGAGGAAGCACATGGCTAAAACCTTGGCTTGCTCTTTTCTTTTTTCTTTTTTTTTTCTTCCCTTTTATTTTAATTGACTTAGAAAAGCAACAGCTTTCCATTTGTTTCTTCTGGCAACTTCTGATGGTTCCACATTTTTGTCTTTTTCTGCTTTGTTACAAAAAAAATAATCATTGCAGGTAAAGCAAGTGTGATTACATAGCTGCTCTAATGTCTAGTAACTTTTGTGATAACTAAGAAAGTGTTTTTGCACATAGCACCTAACTGCATAGCTTAAGGGCACTCAGTGTTTTAAAGTTTGCCAGAAATTCTTCTCGTGAAAAGCTCCACAGAATATAGATTTCATGAGTTGAATCAGAGTGCTCTAGGAGGGCAGCCCTTTCTCTTCCTGTTAGGTCCCGGAAAATGTAGTCACGTGAAAAGCTGAGTGAGTCAGCATTGTTTAACATTAACATAATTAGAGTGTTTTTGTGTTGTTTTTTTTTTAACTTGTGCACTTTAAAGTTATTTGAACTCGGTTTTCATACCTCAGTGAGCTGCAGAGATGAAAATAGCTCCATAGAGCTGCCCCTGATGCTCTATGGAGATGGTAGAGAGTAAATTCATTGTGGAGAAGGATGTTTGTATCTGGAGGCTGGAGGGTTGGCACTGGTGGGTGAACATGTTGTGATGTCCAGCTGCAAGGAACCAGAGGAGGTTTGAAGAACCACCTTCTTGTTTCCAGCAGCGCTGAAAAGCCTAGTGCAGGGCACATGGACCAAATTCAACCCTGCTGCCATTACAAAGTATTCATGTGCTTTCTGCTTAAACGAGGACTAAATCTCACCTTTCTGTCACTACTGGCTCTTCCGAAAAAAAGAAATAAGCAGACTGGTAAAGGGACAAACGTTGACATAGTTCAGTGGGTTCCTGTGAGAAGGGGTTTTGGCCATTTGGCTGCGATGGGGAAAACCAAAACTCTTAGAAATAAAGACAATTTCATATGGGCTGTGATGAGAGACTTTGCTTCTCAAAAGTTTCTTCTCCTGTTTTTCAGAGTGCATATTACTTGGAAATACACAGTCTAATAAAACCTTTTAAAAAATGAAGTTATCCTAAAGATTTCTGACAATTTTTCTGATGTTAAAACATCATTAAATATAACTATAGTTACTATTAGTTAAAACATCATTAAATATAACTTTTCAAATGATTCATTTATGAGTTGATGTAGCATAATGCAAACCAGAAAGCCCAGAAAACTTGCAGCAATTATTTCAGCTTGTCTAAAAGAACTGCTCATAAAATTGTATGACTTGTGTTTTCTAACAATATAACAGTTGCCATTTCTGAGAACATCAGATGACGCATTTCCAGAAGTTGATGCTTAAGGTAGAATAATTTCCTGAAAGAGATTTGGTCATTCAGCTTTCCGGATCTTTAGTAAAATCTATAAAAAGCAGTCATTCAAGTGGACAAAGCAGTAATCACTTGACACAGAACTGAATTTTTAAAGGTCACAGCACAATGCGACATCCTAAGTGAGGTGAACATGCAAACATAAGCACAGGAGTGGTGTGAATGGATTCGTCTCTCCTTTAGGTAAATCACTCCCTTGTGCAGGAACCTGCAGCTCGAGCTGTATGTTGGATTGTGTCATATGGTGAGCAGACCCCGAGTTGTGCTGGCTCCAGCGGAAGGCGACCAGCATCACACCAGTACGGGGGAGATTTCTGGGAAGTCATAGCACAGCCAGGACCCCACGGACAAAAGAGAAAATGGTGACCTTGAAAACAACATCACTGCAGTGCCCGCCCTGAGGAGGAAAGCCTGCCTCCCAGGCACAGCCCCTCTCGGCTACACGCCGTCTCCTTGCCCGTAGAGAGCTATTAGAGAAGTGACTATTTCAGGCACCCATTGCACATAAGCAGGCCAGGTAAGGGGCAGTACATTTCCAGTCTGAAATAGAATAGCCTAAATTATTAATATGCATTTACGCCACTGGCAGGCACACTATTCCTGAATTGCAGGGAGTAATGGGGTGAGGCCAACAGTGATGGTCCTGCAGCAGAGGTTGCCCCTGCAGCTTCTTGCAGCCAGTCTATTACTGCTTATGCCACCTCTAGGACACTGTAAGGCGTGCATGGGGCAGGGGAGCAGGAGCAAATTGCACCATATTGGTCTCGGGTCACATTTTCTATACTGGTTTCTGTGCTGCCAGCTGCCCAGGTTGCCCTGGGCTGCGTAGGGAAGAGTGTGGCCAGGAGGTGGAGGGAGGTCATTCTCCCCCTCTGCTCTGCACTGGGGAGGCCACAACTGGAATCCTGCGTCCAGTTCTGGGCTCCCCAGTTCAAGAGAGACAGGGAACTGCTGGAGAGAGTCCAGCGTAGGGCAACAGAGATGATTCAAGGATTGGAGCATCTCCCTGGTGAGGAAAGGCTGACAAGTATCTCAAAGGCGGGTTGAAGGAGGAGGGAGCCAGACTCTTTTCAGTGGTTCCCAGTGACAGGACGAGGGGCAACGGGCACAAGCTGGAACATAAGAGGTTCCACTCAAATATGAGAAAAAACTTCTTCACAGTGAGGGTGACAGAGCCCTGGCACAGGCTGCCCAGGGAGGGTGTGGAGTCCCCTTCTTTGGAGATTTTCAAGACCCGCCTGGATGCTCCTGAGTAACATGCTCTGACAAGCTCTAGGCAATCCTGCTTCAGCAGGGGGGTTGGACTAGATGATCTCTATGTTCCCTTCCAACTCTAAAAAATTCAGTGAAATTCAGTGAAATTCAGGTGCAGGCTGTCAGAGCCCACGAAGCAGTGGCAGGGCATGCCCCTGGTGCATTTTGCACTGGAGCGAGTTGCTGGGGCACAGATCGCGTGAAGGGGAGGACACTGAGCAGAACTGTCTGCAGAGAACTTTGCCTTAGGAAAAGGCTTGAAATTCTGTGAGACACAAAAGCCACAGGTCCACTGCTGTGCCCTCCGA